ATAAGGTAGTAATTACATTTAATTACCATTTTTTATTACCTTGTAATTACATGGTAATAAGGGTACTGTAAAAGAAAGCATTACAGTTGTCTCTTCAGACATTGTTTAATTATCTGTCTTCATGCTGCTTCTCTATTTAGCCCTGATTAAGGATGCACGGATGTGAAAATCTCAGCTGATATTGATATCCAATATAATTATTGGTGTTCTGGCTGATAACAAACATTTACTGATATTACACAAACACACTTGTTTCCTTTTCCAATACTATAAAACCAACCAGACCTTTGACATGGCTCTACTTCAGTTAGTCCTGGCTGCAGCATCACTATCATGATCAGAGACCACTCTACCAACAATCTCCCCTCCAGATACACAAACACAAAGATAAAAAGTGGGAAATCAATTTCAGAGGTTAATATCAGCCCAGTTTTACTTATCAGMCTGATACCTAGCTCTGACTGATGTTTAGTTGTTTAATCTAGTTGGTCAACAACCAACAAGTTAAAGTTCAGTTTTATTCCTTTTTATCTGTAGAACACTACTTATTTCAGATCTACATCAGATTGTGATCAGACCTCCTGAGGACTTAAATCTGCAGTAAAAACTCTGTAAAATCACATTTAGTTGCAGCTGCTGTGTGTTCCTTATAACTGACAGTGTGTTCTGTGTACGGTTAGAGAACATGAGTGGTTCAGACACGACCTGCCAGGCTACCTGTTCCCAGAGGACTCATCGTATGACACCACCATCCTGGATGAGGAGGCTGTCAGAGACGTTTGTGACAAGTTTGAATGCAATGAGTCTGAGGTTGTGTCCAGCCTGTACAGTGGAGACCCACAGGTACAAACACAGAAGAAGGTTTTAGTGTTCTACTTGTAGCTGCAGTGAGTTATGCTTCACTCTGCTCTCTGCGTGGACAGGACCAGCTAGCTGTAGCTTACCACCTCATCATAGACAACCGGCGCATCATGACCCAGGCCAGTGAGTTCTACCTGGCATCCAGTCCTCCACAGGGCTCCTTCATCGAGGAGGGGATGCTGCTGCCCCCTGGGATCAAACCCCACCCAGAGAGGATGCCTCCTCTGTTGGCTGACAGCCCCAAGTCTCGCTGTCCTCTGGATGCTCTCAACACCACCCGGCCCAAACCACTGGCAGTGAAGAAAGCCAAGTGGCACCTGGGCATCCGCAGCCAGAGCAGGCCGTACGACATCATGGCTGAGGTGTACAGAGCCATGAAGCAGCTCAGCTTTGACTGGAAGGTAACGGGACAGGTTCTGAGAGCTGCAGCTGTCTGTACGGCACTGATGAACGCTTCTTTCTGTGTTAGGTGGTGAACCCGTATCACCTGAGAGTCAGGAGGAAGAACCCAGTGACTGGAAACCTGGTGAAGATGAGTCTGCAGCTTTACCAAGTGGACAACAGGTCCTACCTGCTCGACTTCAAGAGCATTGATGGTTGGTGATTAGAAAAGACATTCTCTCATTTGGATGAAATAGATTTATATAAATTAATACTGGTATACACACAATAATCATTCAAAAACATTAAAGTACAGTATTCTGTCAGCATGTAGTCAACTAAATAAGAAAATCTGGATTTTAATATTTTTAAGTTGTTTTTTACATTAATCATGTCTAATCCTGGTCTTTGAGGGACACAGTCCTGTATGTTCTGTTGGTCCCTGCTCCAAGTGTTGTTGGAGGATTGGACCCAGAGTGCAGACAGTCCTGAGGAGCTCACTAAATAACCTTCATTTATTAAAACAGAAAACAAAAGGAGATTACACAGCTAAACTCACAGACGATGAGAGTTTCCAAGAACACAGAGGAGAGCAAGACCTCAAACCAGACTGTGGCATTGGAACCAGCAACTCACTGCTGAGGTGGAAGGAGAGTAGCTGCGTTTCCATGGACCATGAAAATGTGCAAATTAGAATTTTGAAAATAAATTTGCTCAATGGAAACACTTTTTTCACATCACAGGAGTCACGTGATCAACAACCGTCTGTTTCTACTGGTGAAAAAGACGATGATGAAGAAGATAACAGGAAGTAGAAGTAGTAGTAATATCACAGAAGTAGTATAAAATAGTAGACTACAATTTCCCAAAAACACAGCATACGTAGCCGCTCCCAAG